CTCCCCCAAAAGGATCAGTCAGCCTTTAACACCCTTGACACTGTCACCACTGGCTCTCCTTTTTTGTGCACATTTGGATAGGGAGAGCTGCTGTTTTGAAGATGCTCCTACCCAATCACCTACAAAAATCCCTGTTTGACAGATGTCTTTGTAACAATATAATCTATTATTAAAACAATACACTACACAGGCAAATAAGAAATTTCATGGTCATTCGAACAAGAAGGGAAACAGATAAAAAGATATTCTGACACCTGTTATATATCAAAATCTACATCACACAATACCAACATTGTACAGAGTTTCATCACTTTTGGATTGATTGTGTGGGAGGGTGCATGCATGGCTGTGCATGTACACTCAAGTAGGTGGAGAGGGCAGTATCACATAACCTTATCCTTAATATAGTATTCAAAATAAAAAATGTCAGGTATACAAACCCCTAGGGAGCATTTGTACCTTTATACTCTCCTTTGCTAAGCCCTTCCTAAACAGCCTCAGTCCAATATAAGGAACCCTAACAGGACAGTTAAGTTTTAATATGCAAAGATGCTGAAAAAGTATTCAAATAACTAATCATAACAGAACATAATCTTGGTATTAAATGAATATATATCACTCAAGTAAACTCGAGTGCAGTTTAAGAGACAATTAGGTTTACTAGCCAAACGAGATGAAGAGGGATGCCCAAGGAAACAATTTCAAAATACCCCTTGTTTGATCTGATCCATAACATTTGTGGAAATCTACCATTCTTCCAAAGATTCGCTTATTATTTGGTGACCATCAGAATTATGATCAGGATAGAAATGTTTTGTCACAGGATGAAAGCGAATAGAAAAAAAGTGCGGTGACTCTTCCCTTTAAAGAAAAAAGGGGACCCAAATCATGCCAGCAAAATGCCCCCACAACATAAGAGAGCCACCAAACCCCTTTAATTGATTAACTATTTGGGTTCAAAGGCTCAGATTTTCCCTGTATTTCCCATTAATCTGTACACCACATTTTCCTAATGCGTTCCTAACTCTCTGCATGTTATTGAACCCATACCAACCTATTATCACACAGCAAGGAGGACCTCTGACTGCCCTGTTGTGTCTGCCACCAAGGCATACGCAGAAGATCCTTTAAATTCTGTTTCCAGTTAAAAGTTTGTCTCTTCTCAGAACACAGTTATTAGGGAATCACCAGTGGAGATCATAAGTTCACCTTAAATCTTGCTATTTTGGTTGTTTGGCCTTTTACCAACTCCCTACAGCTAGGCTAGCCACGTCCCCCACATCCAAATGGCTGGTTACAAGAGCCAGCTGTTCAATTTGCCAGGAAACCTTGAGGATTACAATCATAAGACACTAAAACTTACGCAACACAGCAGTTAGTGTTGTCAAACTGGCTAAAGCGAGCACGGTATTTTCAAAAGTATCATTGAATTCAAATAAACTGCACAAACTGAAGCACTACTCCTTCTTTGTACGAGAAACAATTAAACCATCTTTTAAAAAAATGCTCCGTGACCCCAGCCTACACGTACTGTGACCTCACATGGAGCCAAGACCACGCAGCTAGAGTATGTAAAAAGATGCACCAAAAGCTGGTGGGAGGAAACCAGCTGCAGGGAAATGATCAAAGCACACCTCCCACCACAGATTCTTGTGAAATTATGAATGTATAGTATCTGCAGCTATGTGACTAAAAATGTACGGGGACATCAACATGTTCAGCGAAAACGTTCATAAGTAAACAAAAACTAAAGTTATTCCTGACACAGTCGATTACTCTCAGACATTTTTGAACTGGCTCCTGATTGGTCCGCGAATGGGTTTCATCAAACATTCAATGATATATTCTTTGGCTTAACAAGCAAAGAGGAAAAGACAGGGCAGTGACAGTGATAGACAGCGTAGCGTTTTCTTTCTCTACTTAAGAAAATGAATGACGTGAAGACTACAGTCAAATACAACACGGCTGCTTCTCTCTACCCGTACCCGTGAGTGCGTTTGCCTTTTAATATGTGACAAAATGGAGAAACACAGAGTTTCTACCAAATACAGCTGGAATTTGCAGGAGAAAAAGAAGCCTGACCTATTTCTCGGAATGAATGGAAATGACCTACGCTGTGGGCCTGCATGAATCTAAATTGAGTCACCAAGGGTATCCTGTGCAACAGTGTTCTGTTTGATTTAGAAACTGCTCCCCTGCTGATTCGAGGCAAGACAGGGGATGGCTGTGCCCACTAGGCCTTGAGGGGGGAATGTTTCAATGGCAGACGTCTCCAGCAGCACCCTGCTCCCAGACTCAGCACCAGACAAGCCAAGCAACACAAATGCAATTAGGTGCAGGAGGAGCAGACACAAACGTGTTCACACGCATACGTCTCCTTGCTACAGCCTAAAATCCAGTTCTTGTTGCCCCCTGTCTCAGCTGAGCCCTCTTTCTTACAGGTTGCGTTTGAACAAACGTCATATCGAACCATCTGTTGAAACCTGGTAGATTCAAGACGTTGTTTCTTAAGTGGCTAATAAAAGGAAGTAGAGTGAGTTTCAGAGGTTATTTTCTAAATTAAACATCAGATTAAAAAGTGAAGACAATGGGGAAAATACCTTAAGTCGCTCACGGAAAGCTGACTGTATTAAACATTATTCGACATTAAAAGGAAATTCTCTGAATTTAAATGCTTTTCATTTAAACGTGGCTTGTGGATGCCGTCCCTGTTAATCGACTGACAAATGATTCATTTCGACAACATAAAAGGTGAAAGAGGGCCATCTTTGTGGGAGTGTTTGCTTGATTGGCATGTGTCTCAGCTTATCACTTTAAACAAAAACGACACAAAAATGTCAGCGCTTCGTCACGGCATAATTTTTAAGGGACCTTAAGGTTGCGTGGCTCCCCTTTGGATTTTGGTTGCAAGCTTATACGTAGCTCTAAAGTTATTCAGACATCAAAAACTCGAAACTGTAAAACACAAGCCCTTTCTAGTAAACGTGGACAAATATAGAAACTACAATAAAGGATTTCCACAATAATCTTATTACAACACTTCTGTGAATGAAGCCTTTACCGCAGTATGAAAGGAAACACTTGTGTAGGGATTTATTGGAGCTTTATGAGACAGGTGATCTGTAATTTGGAGGTACACGTCATATTTTCATTCATACGCAAATTCAACAGTGTGCTGAATTAGGGCCTCAAGAAAAAAGGCCTCACACTGGACCAGAGCGCAGTGGCTGGAAAGCTAACCACTACCTGCTATGCTGATGTGTGAAAGAAGCCCCTCTGCCTGCATCTTTGGCCTCTAGCTGACCTCCCTCTGCCTGCAGACAGACCACTTAACACTGCCTCCCCACCTGTAGAGACGTCTGAAGAACAGGCCCCACTTCAGAGCTACGCAGTCAGTGATTGGCCATGATTACCATGGGCACTTGACTCATTTCATCTCCTCTAAAGCACTAAACGTTGGGGCATCAGGCACGGAGATGGATTCTTCTTCCCATCTATATTTTTTGATTGTGTACATTAATACCAGTGTAGAAACACTTTAATTTGAACTTGTTTCTGATGCAAAATATGCATGAATGTAAAATGCTGAATATCTGAAATGTTGCATTTATTAAGCATCTAATGTTGTTGGGTTTTTTTCCACAGTGATGCGTTGTGAAGGGAATTTCTCTGCTGAGGTTTTCGAGTAGGTAGTGGAACTGGCACCGATGTTTGCAAGGAGGTGTCATTCTGTATCAGCCGAAGAGCAGTTTGATAAAGCGGCACTGCCTCGGTGACATGAAAGCCCAACTGAGTTCAACAACAGCCGTCATCTCTGCTCTGCTTTTCTGTAGATAAATGCCACTGACAGGAACAGAATTCACTGTGGTAACTGATCAGGTGCCAAGTGCCCTCTCCCCAGTGCCCTGCTGCACCGAAGCCCTCCACGGAGCTGGCATTGGCCTGGCCTGGCCTGGTCTTGCAGCCACGGGCCCAAGCTTTGTAGCTCTACCCTCGACTATTCAAGCTATCTCCAAATCACACCCGCCTGCCGTCAGCTGCCCGACTCACAAACCTAAGCAAACAATTTAAAACCCGGCAGTAAAGACCTGACTAGGAGGCAAAGTTAAGACAGCAAAGTTGACTTGATCGGAAATCTAATCTTGCATATTTATGTGGTGTTTATTACACCAGCGTTGCAACTAGCTCAAATATAATTAGTGATAGAAGAGGTGTTATTATGTAGGTCTTTGTCAGAGGACGTGAATGTGTTTTAAAAATACCACAGCAATGAATCAGTGGCCTCACTATCTTTACAGGCAGGCAGAGCTGGTAGGTTTTGTCAACCAGGCCAACAATAAGAGAAGCATACAGGCACCAGAATGAAAGAGGCAGTGGTGTTTGCACTTATTGTTTGGCTTCAGCTGAAAGTGAGATTGCTGTGATTTAATATAAAACAACCAGCCGTTATGCATTTTACCACCATCTCCATGTAAAGCCACCTGGCCCTCCAAAAGAAAAAAGAAAAAAAAAACATTGGAATGATTAATATCCCATGTCTGGAATACTCAGAAAATATACATATTATAACCTTCACGGTTTCACAGCCTCATAAACCTAATAGGATATTTATTTTATTTTATGTTAGTTTAAAAAATTATTTAAGGCTAGGCTGCAAAATATATACCCAGCTGCCTCGGATGAAGCCTATATTATATTGCTACATCACAAAGGTCTGTGACTAAGCATTGAGGTCCATGTTTACAGCATCCCAGACCGTCGAGGAAATCTGTGGCCTCGGTGCGTTTGTCTTCGTCCAAAGAAAATTAAAGGTATTCGCACAGGAGCTGAAGTTGAATGCATCGAGGCACGTACTCCCATAAAGGCAGGTGCACCTGTCTGCAGTGGCAGCCTTTTGTGCTCACTACCAAATGAGCCACGAATCTACGTGTCGCGCCGTGTGTGCGAAATATAGCATAGACGTACATGTAAAAGAAGATGAAACCATCCGTGTCTCTTACCGTTCTGCCTTCAGTCATGGCTCCCCATCATAGCGTTTGGAGTCCAGACCTCTGACGAGCCGTTTATTCCTATCAGGCTGTGTCACTCACTCCCTCTCTCTCGCTCATCCCCATGTCATGTTTCTCTCCGCTGCAGCAGAACCAAGCCACGCCTCCTCCGGTAGCCGCGTGACGTCTGCCTCTGACGAGCCTTTTTTGCACACGCCCTCGCATGCGCGTCCGTCATTTGGCCGCCAGAGGCCGCTGTGCATGAACCAATAAAGAAAAAAAAAAAGAAGGAAAGAAATGAAAAGCCAGCGTAATCACAGCCTGTACGAAACTCCAGTGACTGCAAAGCTATTCTCCTGAGATTAAAAACACACTGAAGACTGCTGCACTCATTTACCACTTTATTAGGAACACCCGTGGATATATAAATCTGCCATACATTTCACAAGGCTTCTAAATGTTATGTTTTAATTACTTTAAAACAAAAAATAAGATGGAAAAAGGGGAATCAGTCTACATAATGTTTATTACTGATGTTAAATTAGGTGACGATGGTGGTGGTGAAGTAGACCTCTGGACTAATGGGTTAGACAAAAGGTTAGGAAATTTTTTTTAATCTTTTTTTTTTTTTCATTTTTCTTTAAAGTTCTGTCATACACAGGCAAAATCTCGAGTTTCTACAAGAAACAAATTCTCCAACAGTATTTCATGGTGTTATTTTAATAGACGTACCTAACAGGTAGACGTTTGGTTTGGGATCTACATTCCAGTGCTGAGGAAATTATTTATCTATCTATCTATCGTGACTCACAGAGACTGGGTGTTTTCTCATTTTCTTTGGCTCGTTGACTAAATGCTCACCGCGGTCCATTCTCATTGTCCAGTGTTTCACTTGAACTGGTCCAGCAAGTTATCTCTGGGCTGGTGCCTCACACCGAGTCCCCATATCGATCCGCCAGCTTTACCTGCCGCACGGACACTGCGTCTTTGGAGACAGTCCTCACTGTTTGCCGTCTTTCTCACTTTCAACCGAAAGTCCTCGGGCACAGCCATGAGGTCCTTCGTCGCGTTTGTCATTCTCCTGGTCTTCTGCGTTGGATTTACTGGATGTAAGCCCTCGTCGCCCTGTCCGAGTGGCCAGTTTATGCTGAAGAACCAGTGTGTCCTGTGTCATCCCACCTGCTCCGAGTGCTACGGACACGAGCTGTTTGAATGCACTACCTGTGGAGTTTGTGAGTAGGATTTTCTTAGCACGTATAACGCAGTGAATATAGGGCTGTTGTTGATGGCTTTCTCAAATGAAGAAAAAGGCGATGTTTATTAAATATCCATTACATTTTCCCCACACACTAGCTTACTGTGCATTTCATATACCCACGGATTTTTTTTAAAGTCGTGTATCTTATGTGACAATAACTTAAGTTTTCATCATCATTGGTAAAAAGATCCAACACAGTACCTATGAAATGAGGACATGAGAACACTAAATTTGCATACCATTGTTCATATAATTGTTTTTTTAAAGGATTTTATTATAATTTGTTATTATTTTACCACACCTATACCAGATTATGACAAAGACCTGTTGACTACTGAGAAATCCAGTTTTTTTGTTTTTTTTACTAGTCTATTTAATGATTACCCAGCTCTTTAAAAAGGGCTTTTGTTCGATGAGGTGCATTCAGCTCTGGTTTACCATTTACTCTTGTTAAACAATCAGAGAGGCTGGCTGTAGGACTTGCTGGCTACCTCTGAAATAGGGAAGGGTTGAATGTATGATCGTTTTTCACCCGAGTTTTCACCGTGTAATGTGATCGTGTCAGAAAGAGGCCTTTGTTAATCAGAACAGGGGAAAAATATCTGAAAGAGCTGGAAGTAGTGCTGTTGCAGTTGACTAGGCTCAACCTGCAAAAGCTGCAACTCTGTCCCTCCTTCCCTCACACTCTCCCTCCCTTGAACACACACTGCTGATTCTCTTACTATACATTGTTGCTGGGTGGACCTATGCTTGGTTGTCATGTGCCATATTTTTCTGATCATGCTGTGATTGAGGGAAGTGGAAGGATAAGAGAAGCAGCAGCTTGCAGCCGCTCTCCTCCCTGTCTCACACGTCTTCTGTGTGGCACTGAGCAGATGAGACAATGCTGTAACTCGGCTGCTCTCAGAGATGCCTCAGGTGCCACAGGTGCCTTGCTAGGCTAGTGGCAGGTGGCAGAGCATTAATCATGAGGGCCAACACAAGGCTGTCTCTGCTTACAGCTCTGATCTCTGGTCTGCCGCTAATTGCCAGTGTTTATATTAGTTGGAGCATCAGTCAAGAAGTGATCTGGCACTGTTGCTGTCTGCAGTCAGTCTGCAGTCAGTTTATAATGATCTTTATGCCTTCCATTCGCCTGCCGCTATTCTCTGTTTTTATTAAATATGCATGTGAAATCTCTGAATCCAGCACCTCCCAGCAGTTGCCACAGATTCCCTCAGCAATCCTCATCTTTCATTAGGCACTTACTTTTACACAGTTGCAGTGTCTTTTTAACTTTCCTTCATCCGACTGGCTGTCGGATGAAGGAAAGATTAAAGCTTACCTCTGTATTTATTATGAGAATCTGAATGTTTTTCACTCTCAGAATACGGCAAACAGCATTTTTATGATAAGGGAAAATAGAGTATGCTAACAGCTCCTCCGTGACCTCTTCTTCCTCCTCAGATGAAGACGGACAGGAACGTTTCCTCCACCAAGGTCGCTGTCGGACACACTGCCCACGGGGATTCTATCCTGACAGGGGTCACTATGCCTGCCTGCCCTGCATAGCCAATTGTGAACTGTGCACAGATGGCAACATATGTGCAAAGTGTCGAGGACATTACAAACTTCACAATGGGGTCTGCCAAACAGCACTGTGCGGCATAGGTAAGTGCAAAACAGAGTTTTTGTGGAGGCGATATCTTTGCCCAACAGAGAGGCATTCAGTATTCTGGACCTCTGTGTTTCAGGGCAGGTGCAGGACCCTGATACAGGAGAGTGCATTGACTGTGAAATTGGCTGCAAAACATGTTACACAGGTAAACATGCTTTCTGTATGAGGCCCACACACCATTACTGTTTAGCGATGTATATTAAAATGCTGATAAAAGAGCACAATGCAGTTTGTTTTTCCCTATGAATGCTAATTAATCACCTTTTCTCCTCTGTTCCCAGAAGACCCAGAGATCTGTAGCAGCTGTGTTGAAGGTTACTTTCTGTGAGTGGTTTTTTTTTCTTACCTTATTATTATATTTTGATAACTGTGTCTTCCTCCTGTTCTGCTCTGAAATCATCCACAGACAACGGCGTCAATTGGGAATTATCTTTTCATTGTTTATGGATTTGACAGGTATTTTCTATTA